TTGGTATGAGAGCACCATCAACAATATATGTCACCAGTGTTAGACCATTTTGAATGGATTCCAAACACCTTTGTCATATGAGTTGACATGAATTTGCATACAAGCTTTCCAATAACTATAATTTTCTCCCGTGAAAATTGAAGCACTTTTATAATCCCATTTATGTTCGTACGCCATTTTCTAATAAGTTTCAAAGCCAGAATAAACTGAGATCTTAATTCCACTGGTTAGACAAAGGCGCCTTATCTAGAGGGGGGGGGGGGGGGTGAATAGATCACCAAGCCAAAATTCTATAAAAATTATGGTTTTAAAAATTTGTTTAGTAAAACAGTGCAAATGGAATTTTTTCAAATTAAGTCGTCTATACGAACTGAGTTATTGGAAGTCGGATATGCAAATATTAAAATTCAATATGGAATGACAACAATAAATTGAAATTGATATACATCAATCAAATAACAGTTTATTTAACGTTTATAGCAAGTTACTAGCAATATTATTTCCAATGATAACAAGCAAACGAATAAGCTGAACAATTTGTCGAACACTTGGTGTGCAACATAATTTTCAAAATTTTCCTTTGAATTGAACAAGCTAAACAATTTATCAAACACTTGGTATTCAATAAAAGTTTCAGAATTTTCCTTTTTATATGTTGATATGAAAAAGCACTTATAATCAAAAGTGATTATAAGAAACCTAACACACAATTCAAAACAAAAATAGTTTCGGAAAATTCCTACACGTCGATAGGTTACTCAATGCTATTTGACAAATTGATATATGAAAATTAAAGTGAGTAAAGAAATAAAATAAAAGAGAAACAAGGATTTGTCTTCACAGTTCCCCACTTTTTTCCTCGCGTGTGGGTACATTTGCGCCTAATTCTAATGGAATGAGGATAATTCTTACTATGTAAAAAGTTTGATATAAGAGTGTAAAATCAAGCTTCTCAAATAAGCTTTTGTTTTGATGAAGACAAACCATGGCTAACAAAGAAGGCAAAGATTTTGGTCAAGCATCTAAGCATCTAAGGATAATATCTTCACTTAAAGCTCTTAACAACTTTAAAGGTATAATAATATTATCTACTTTGATCTTAAGATATAGATGCTCAAAAATGAAAAAGAAATGTTTAAGAATAATTACTCAAGCTTTTCAAAGATAAAATTTCACTTTTCTTCTACATGCAATCGATTTACATCTTAGTGCAATCGATTGCACTCTTCAAAAATTCCAAATCTTTTGCTTCTGTTTCTTTGTGCAATCGATTTACATTCCTATGCAATCGATTGCATACTTAAATTTTTTAAAACGTTTGCTACTGACTTAGCATGCAATCGATTACATTGTTAGTGCAATCGATTGCACTCAGTTAATTTTTTGCTACTGACTTTGCATGCAATCGATTACATTGTTAATGCAATCGATTGCACTCTTAAAATTTTGAAAAAAAATAGCTGTTGAAAACCTTGTGCAATCGATTACACCAAGAGTGCAATCGATTACACACTGCACGAATTTGAAAAATAACAGTTTTGTTCATGCCTTTTGATCATACCTTTTCATTACATCTTTTCACTCAAACTTGGCATTTGTTCATGATACATTTCCAGATCTTCATGATGTTTCAAAAGGGTGTTATGAACATATAAATATTCAATTTCAAATCCAGATCTAACACCTTTCAAAATATTTTTCTGAACTTTAAAAATACAAACTCAAGCATTCTTCATTTTCATGCATAAGTTTTCTGCACATTTTCATACTTCAAACAGAAAACTTTGAGCAAATATATCTTGAGTCTTTGTACAATATTATTATTGAAAGAAGAAGATTATACATTGTCAAATCACTCTTAGTGATCAATATACTCTACTCACTCAAACTCACAAATTGATATTTACTTACTTATTTTCCAGGATTGTTGGAATTAAGTTTAAGTGTTTTTGTTGAAATCTTGTCTTTCCAAGTTGTTGGATACAAGTGTAGTTACATTGAGAGGATTGTTCTCATAGGTAACTTAGTGAAAATCCAAGAGGATTGTTCTCATAGGTAACTTAGTGAAAATCCAAGAGGATTGTTCTTGGTCCAAGAGGATTGTTCTTGGTCCAAAAGGATTGTTCTTGGTGGTTTTATTGGTTAGAGTCTTGTATAGAAGGACTAGGGTGTCTTGTCTAAAGATCTAACAATAAGGAACTCTCTTTCATGTTGAAAGGGGACTGGAGTACTCTCAGACTGTGAGGGGAACCAGGATACATCTCTGTGTTCTTTACTTTTCCGCATTTACCGCTTTCATCACTAGTCATAAACCAGAAAAGAAAGAAACACAATTGTAAACTCATGCACTAAACCAGAAAAATAATATCCATCTCACTAAAATGGTAAAACTTTTAAAGTACCTAATTCACCCCTCCCCCCCTCTTAGGCGCACTCTCATACTAACAAAGAGAAGTGTTCCAAGAGCAACTCCACAAACCCTAACGTTTGTTATTGATTCAACTCCTTATCTTCCTTTGATCTTGAGAAAGACCAAGACACAAAGCTACAAATTGATTATCTATATCTTGCTACTTCTTTGCGCACTTTATCTCCAAAACTTTCACGCACCACCACTTTCAACTATTGCAATACAAGACTTTAATTTTGATTCGTCGTTCTCGCTTTACTTCCTCTGCGTTCTTTATCACCAAAGGATCCTTTGTATTTTTTATATCCAAAGGCTTTTACTAGGCCGCAATCTTCTTATGAATGTCTTACACGAAAACCTCCAAATCAATCAATGATCTTTGAGGACAAACCCATTGTTTTTTTGGATGAAGACCCCTGCAAGTCTCAAACCAATATTCTTGGCTACATAAGAACCTAATTGGAAGTTATCAAACTCGTCTAGATGACACCCTAATAAAAGATCGTTACAATGATGCATGAAAGATGTATTTATAGTTATGGAATTATTAGGGCAAAAGAGGAAAATTCGAAATTAAAAGAAAATAGAAAAATTTCCTCTTGAAACAGTATGAGTCATCCTGTAGCTTGGATGAGTCGACTCATAGTGTTAATTTTAACAACATGAGCTAGCCTAAAATGACCTATGAGCCAGCCTGACCAAGTCAGAAGAAAACAACTTATCTAAAACAATACATGAGTCGACCTGAAATGGCTTATGAGCCGGCCTGACCAAGACATAAGAAAATAGCTTATCCAGGATACTACATGAGTCGGCCTGTAATGACTTATGAGCCGACTAGTAAATGCATTTTTAGTGCAGCAAAATATTTTTTTAGACTGAGTCAGTTTTTACTATGTTTCCAATGATTCATAAGACCTCTAAATGCATAGGATGCCACCCAAACTCAGAGATACCACACAATATACATAAATACTATATTCTTATAATTTTGACATCATGCAAAACACATCTTAGTTGAAATTGCACTCATAAAATGAAACTGAATCTAAATTATATCTAACACTAAGAACCCTAATTGAAAGTTTCACAAGACTCACAACCAAATTTGCCAATTTGTACAACAAATGGAACATGGGCACAAACAACTCAATATATTAGTGTTTCAAAAGTTGGGAAATGAAACAAATATGTGTTCTTGATTTTGGAAATCAGGTCAAATGAGTTCATGATTTGAGATTTATTAGTATATCTGGGTTCTTTTTTAAGAGAGACTTTACTGAATGAAGCTTTTTAAATTTTTTTTCATATTTTATGTTTAATTATTTTTTATTTATTATTAAGTAAACATGTCATTATGAATACATTTGAATTTTTCCTAGTCATAAATAATAAGTAATTAAATCATGTGTCAAATCATTAAAAAATATCATATCATTCAATTTTTTTTATAGTGTCATCTATTAGAAAAATAGACACATCAGATTTTTGTCTAGAAATGAAAAAGAGAGATGAATTTTTTTATAAATAAAATAGAGAGATTGATTTCGTAAATAAATTAAAATCAGAAGATAAAAATTATAATTTAGCCTTTTTATTAATAGTGATTGTGATGGAGAAATTGAAGGAAAAAAAACCTTTAAAAAATTGTGAAAAACAAATGGTATTTTAGATACAACTCAACATATAAAATAGTGTTGTAGAAAGGAAAATAAATATTTTTACGAGATGGCAAGAACCATGATCGACAAAATAAATATTGCATAACATTTTTAAACTAAAGATATATTATATTCAAAATAGAATCTATATTAAATTGATCTTAAATAAGATTTTTTACAAATTATTATAAATTAGATTGAGACTCCCGCGACATGCGGGGCATTGATGAATTTTTTAAATAGTATTAGATTATATAGATTTTGATTTTGTTTAGTATAAAAAGTGTTGTAATTGGGTTGATTGGATAAAGAATAAAAAAGAGGAAACAATTTTAAATTAAGACAAATGTTGGAATGATAGAAATAATAAATAAGACGTTGTAATTTAATTTTAAATATAAAATATGTGGAGAAAATTTTAATAATTTGTTTTCATCTTTTTTTTCAACATTTTTAAAACCAATAATTTTTAATAGAGTATAAGTTTTTTTTGATGAATTTTTAGAGGTGGCGCATAAAAATATATTTGACAAATATATTAGTAAAGATGAAATAGATGACAAGATTGTAAAAAGTATATAAAATATTCTATAAGATTTAAGGTTCAAGTAGATGGAGAGATTTTGTATGCTAACTTGCCATCATAGGCATGAAACAAAGAATACCTAAATGGAGAAGAGTTTTGCTATGTTAATAGAATCATCACAAATACACTTACATTAGATAAAAAAAATTTTGAACACCCTTTGGATTAAAACTTGTCAAACAACTCAAGAAATGAACTTGCAGATGAAGCATTGCATTTGTGACTTTCTTTAAGCCCAAGTTATTTATTCAACCGATCTATGCGATATCATTGGTCAAGATTCAAACATATCGAAATGATGAAGTACTCAAATCGTGTTCGAGGATATTGCAAAGTTTGTAATTCACAACTGAACACCATCATCTGCATGCATAAACTATGACAGGTCAATATGTTTTCTACATTTTGAGACGGAAAAAGTAACGAAAAGTTATAATTGAACATTTGAGCATTCTAACCTTTGGTAGAAGAAGTCTTTTCTTCGTCGAGTGGAGTTTCGGACGAAGGAGAGGTTGGTGATTGGTTGACATATTCCCTCGCATCAATCAACATTGCGATAACCTCTCTCATTGTAGGCCTATTAAGTGGAGATGCACTCGTGCAAAACAGCGCGATTTTGAGAATAAGAGACATTTCTTCAACGATTCTTTGTTCTTCCAGATTCAATCTCCTGTCGAATAATTCACATGTAGGTGTGGAAGCTTGAATTGATCTTCTCACCCAATTCACTAAATCCCCGCCTTGTTCCAATGGTTGAACCGGTGACCTCCCGGTTACTAGCTCCAGCAAAACCACCCCGAAACTATATATGTCACATTTTTCAGTGACCTTCATGGTGTATGCATATTCTGAAAATATATTTAAATCGAGCAACATTTAGAAAAGCACCCGATTAAAATGACGCGTTCTTAGTTCTAGTTCTGCATTGCAATCTTGATATAGTGGGAAATTGCATGCAAATGCGGCCTGCAAGTAAGTAAAACTCTAATTGCTGTAGTACCTTTGTACCGAACTTATTCATACCTGGGGCGATGTATCCATATGATCCGGCCACAGCAGACATAGATTTGGAGAATGAGAAGTCAATCAATTTTGCCAAACCAAAGTCTCCAACATGAGCCTGAAAACTCTGATCAAGCAAAATGTTGTTTGACTTGATATCGCGATGAATGATTTGAGGTTTACAATCATAATGCAGATAGCATAAACCTTCCGCTGCTCCTAGCGCAATTTTATATCGAACATTCCAATCCAACGAACATTTTTTTGAACTCGAATGAAGCTTTTCTCCAAGGCTTCCATTTTCCATGTATTCATACAATAGAAGATTAGAATCCTCATGAAAACAGAATCCATGCAGCTTCACAATGTTCCTGTGCCTAATCTTTCCAAGAGTTGAAATCTCCGCAATGAAGCTTCGGTCGACACTTCCTGCTTCTCCGCCCCGTGCATTCAGCTTCTTGACAGCAATAACTTCACCATCATTCATAACTGCTTTGTAGACAGTTCCACAAGCTCCTCTTCCTATAACTTCACCTTCTGCAAAATTTCCAGTAGCTTCCAAGAGATCATTGTAAGTGAAGCCTTCTTTTGGAAAGTAATAGCTGTCATCTAGAACATGAGGCTTTGTTTGTTCTTCAATCGAAACAAAAGAATCGCTGCGGCGGCGTTTCATCATAGTCCAACATATGCAAACAATGAAAATAAGAGAAACAAAACCAACCACACCAGAAACAATGCTCACTATCTTTTCCCTCGACAAACCGTCTTTCGCTTGCTTTTCACGATGAGATGAAGATATAGATGAATGACAGTGATTAGTACCTACACGGCACAAACCGTTGTTCCCGGCGAAATTCGTGAAATCCATCTTTCTAAATGTACTTGTGTCTGGAACAGTTCCTATCAGCTTATTGTTAGATACATTGCATACTAAAAGACTAAGCAAGTCGCCAATCGATGAAGGAATTTCCCCGATGAGTTGATTGTCGTTCAAGTAAAGCGATTCGAGCATTTGCAAGCTCCCTAAGCTATCAGGAATTGTATCAGAAAGATTATTGTGACTCAAGTTAAGTGCTATCTGAAGAGCAGAAAGTCTTCCGAAATGAAAAGGGATCCTTCCTGTAAACCGATTGCCTCCGAGCTCCAAATCGGTTAGCCGAATAAGGTCTCCCAAAGTGCCTGGTATTTCTCCAAAGAGCATATTATCAGAAATTTTTAGTAACTCCAAATTCACAAGATTTCCAGTTGAATTTGGAAGCATACCAGTAAACTTGTTCCTGCTGAGATCAAGCCTCTGCAACCTCACACAGTTTCCTAACTCGTCCGGAATACTTCCACCAAAACGATTCGATGAAACATTGAATGTCACAAGTTGAGTCAAATTTCCAATCTCAGAAGGTAGATAACCAGAAAAATTGTTATCCGACAAATGCAGCCTCTCTAAATTCTTAAGCTGACCAATTCCAGGGCTAATTAGTCCGGAGAATCGATTCTGATGAAGCTCGAGCGCGGTAAGATTATGAAGTTCATACAATTCAACAGGTAAGCTTCCTGCCAAAAGATTATCCCCTAGCATTAACTGCACAAGAGACTTGCAAATTTTCAAGCTATAAGGAATATTACCAAAGAGCCTATTTGATCCAAGGCTAAGGAACTGAAGTTTCTGATATTCACAAAGATGAATCGGGATCATACCGACAAGATTATTTGAAGATATATCAAGAATAGTAAGATTCTTAACAGCTCCAAGATGAGGTGGAATTACACCTTCAAGTTGATTATCAAATAGCTGCAAATCTTCCATGAGTTTCAGATTTTGAAACTCCAATGGAATTATACCTGTCAAGTTGTTCAAGGACAAATCTAAATTTCTCAGCAGCCTCAAATTTCCAAGCTCCTTTGGAATATGACCTTGCAAATTGTTTTCAAACAAGTGAAGCAAGGTAAGATTAGAGATTTGGCCTAACTCTTTCGGAATGATACCAATCAAATGGTTTTCAGAAAGGTCAATCTCAATAGCATTACTACAGTTTCCTAACTCACCTGAAATTGTACCATTCAACTGGTTTGTGTACATGTACAATCTCTTCAACCGCGATAGCCTTCCAATATCTTTCGGTATACCACCGATCAACAAATTTTGATGCAAAGCAATTAATTCAAGGCTACTAATGTTTCCAATCTCAAGAGGAAGCTCACCAGAAAAAGAGTTTTGCCATAGAATCAAATTCGTAAGACTCTGAAGCTTTTGTAGCTCCTTTGGAATAGAACCTGTTAACTGATTCTGTGCTAACCCTAATGTCTCTAACCTTTCACATTCACTGATTTCTGAAGGTAATTTTCCTGATAGACCATTCAAACCTGCTCTTATAACTCTAAGCTTCTTCAACTTACTTATCGAAGAAGGAATGGTTCCTGTTACGTTGTTGCTATAAATCACCAACTCTTCAAGTGAGGCTAATTCACCAATATCTTGTGGAATTTCGCCATACATATAGTTTTCACAAAGGTAAAGCTTTCTAAGCGTTTTCATTTTCCAAACAAGGGTTAAAAATGCGCCATGAAACCGATTTGTACAAAGGTCTAAAACCTCGAGTTTATCACAGTTAACAAAAAAAGCTTCATGAATTGGACCCGAGATAAAGTTTTTCGACACATTCAACTCGGTTAACCATGGAAGGTTACAGACTGTAGGAGATAAACTACCAGAAAGATTAAGGTTGTAGAGTGTAACAGAAGTTACTATTGAATCAGTACAATACACACCAGTCCAATTGCATGGAGTTAAATCAGAAGGATTCCAGTTAACAAGATTATCATTTGAGTCTAAAAGAGAAGCTTTGAACTTCAAAAGAATTGAAACCTCTTCATTGATTGAACTTACAAGGAAAATTCCAAGGCTAAACAATACAATCATATAATAAAAGTTAAAAAACACATTTTTTGAAAGGAAACTTGAATCCAATGCCATTTTCTCATAAGGGTTTGGTTAAAATCAGAAGCAAAAAACACAGAAAGTTTGAACATGAAAAAAATTGAGAAGTTGAAGACAAAACAAAAGATAGCGTGCTGTGTAAGAAACATAAAAATGACCCTTTTGGTTAGAGAGAAAAATTAAATAGACCCATGAAATCAATGAATACAGAAGAGAGAGAAAGTAAAGGACATAACTTTGATAGATGAGAGCATGAAAAAGTGAAGATAAACCGTGAAACAGTCACGATTATTATTGAGTCATCGCTATTTTTGTGTTACACAACTTTACAGCAAAGTAGCATAAACTAGTAACTGTTGTTCATGTTCTGCTGACAATGTAAAACAACAACCATAATGTGTGGTTTTTTTGGTTGCATGCACTGTTGCTATGATTTGTGTGTTTAACAAATGGAGTTGAAAAAATGGTGTGTGGGTTGAAAGAGAAAGAGAATAAGGACGTGTGGATATGTTAGGATCATTACCATTCTCCGCCATTGTTGCTGAGCCTACCATTATGGGAATTTAATTTCTGTTGAGTAATCATTTCCAATATGAATGAATGAAAGTGTATGAAAGTTAGTGCCATAGTGCCTAATTACACCTCAATTATCTACTTGTTTGATCTTTTTTCCACCGCCACTCATATTTAATCACTTGTTTTCTTCTTCTATATGTTGGTCAATATACACTGCATATATCATGACATAAGGATACTTAGGTGTAAGGTAAGTGATTTGTGACATTAGTGTTAAATATTAGTATTACATAAATTAAGTGTTTATTAGTATAATCAATCAAAGATTTAAGACAATTTTATTGATTTGAGAGATTAGTCTATGCATAATATCCGATTTTTACTTGGAAAAAAATTTTGGTATGGCTTTTTGGCGCATCAAAAATAGACACCAAATCAATCGAAGTAAGAAATTTTCAGTCATGCAAACATAGATAATAGAATATAATGCAAGAACAATCAAAAACACTAAAGAACACAACAAACACTTTTGTAACCCAGTTCGGAGAGAAAACTCCTACTATGGACAAACTCCTCTGAAATCGAGGCGATCTGAGATGTGTAATTACTGAAGTATATGAAGGTATAATAATGGAGATTCACCTCTCCCTCACACTACCCTCTCACCCGTGTTTATCCCAAAACAAGCCTACACTCACTTGACCTCTTTTTCCTCTAACCGATTATTTCGATCCTCTACATCGATACTCTAAAAAATAGAGTGAGTTAGATATATAAAGCTTTCCATAATCTCTAATCTTCTGGCCTTCCAAGCAAGTGACTCAAAACGGTTAGAGGTTGTTACAGGGTAACACGAAATTTGAAACAACTATAACTGCCACTCACACCTCTGGTAGTCAGTTGTAAGAGTCGGCCCTAATCCAATTCAACAATCTTCACCTTGGATTAGAGGCCGCCCTCAGATTCACAGACTTCAGAATGCATCTCAACCTCAGACCACCATTCTGATGCACGTATTCAACGAACCTCATGTTGAGAAGTATCAGGCGTAACCTGAACTTTCTGAAAGATACCACCTTAGTCATGAAATCTGCAACATTGACATATGGGTACACCGGTTAGAGTAAACACAAAATCGCTTAGAGATCTCCTCTTATCTCTGTCCCCAATAAAATTTGTATCAACATACCCAAGAGCTCCACCTTGCACCCGCTCTTTCTGGCTAAAACTCAAGCCTATATTCGCAATACCATTTATATATCTAAGGAGATACTTCACTACTTGCTAGTGTTAATACCAAGGATTTCCCATATATCAGCTTACCAAGCTTACTGCTTTTGCTAAATCTGACCTTGAGAAGATCATGGTGTAGCGGTAGAAATGTTGATACTAAACCATTGGATTGACTTGACTCGCATAGATCAAATAAAAATCGCCACCGCGCTTTATTGTTTCCAAAGGAATGGGATAAGAGAGAATAAACCCAAAAAAGAGAGGGAGAGAATCTAAGTACGGGGGTTGGTTATGTAAACGGAAGGTATTATCACCCTAAACATCTACGGTACTCCGCAGGAACCTCTTTGAAAATCTATGTATTTTGGCTATAAATGGTGTATACAAAAATAGATGGTGGAGATGAGAAAAGAAATAATTTTTTTACAATTTTTGCACCCGCCACGGTTGCAAACCTTTAGTGCCTACGTACCACCTTCTATGGAATAGGAGATCAGGGTACTTGTAGTTCACCACAAAAAATTTAAAACACATATATGTTAGTTAATTTTAAGAGAAGAGACATCATCGTCATATCTGAGTGGAAGACATACTTACTACCCACGATTATAAAAAAGGAGAATTTGCGTCATCTCAAAGTGTAAGATATAACTTGGATTTTAAAATCAACAAAACCTCACTCAACACCCAAGTGAAAAATATCTCACTTCACTACATATCATAGAAGTCTAGTAGCTCGCATCACTACAAGAATTGACAATAGTCTAATTTTTTGAGAAAAATTTTTAAAGTAAAAAGCTAAAGCAGCAAAAATGGTTTGAATGAGATTAATTAACTTTTAGTCTTCTCACAAAAAATGTCAAAGTATGATTAATATTGATTAAAATTTGATTAAGAAAATATTTTGAAAATACATGGACCTAAGTCCAAGTTTATTATGAAAGTGGTTCAAGTTAGAAAACAAGAAGAGTTTTGAAAAGGAGGGAGAAGATTTTTCAAATTAAAGAAGATGGGAGGAGATGAAGGACCTATCCTAAAGCATAAGGTAAAATATAGGGAAAAGAACGATCTAACCAACAAGAAGTCAACACTTGACATAAAGAGTCAATGTAGAATTCTCATATTTTTGATTGAAACCAAGCAAGCAATAATACTAAACCTCTTAGGAATACCAAGATTCAAATGAATTAAGTCTTCACAAAAATTGGGCAAAGTAACGGTTGTACGCAGAGGAATTCCCAATCCTAGACATAACATATAAACAGAATAACCTGCATACAAAGAAAATCAACCCAATATCTTGGGGGTAAATCCCAAGAACTCCAGATAAAATAACAACAGAGTCACAAGGTCCCAAGGGTAATCAAGGCTTCTAATCCTAAGTCCAAGAGGTCCATAACTCCATTATATCAAGGATAGTAACTAGATATTCCCAGTGACTTTAAAGTTTTTTATTGTTCAAGTTATTTATTAAGTGTCTTCAAAAAGAAAATAAAAGCTCAAATGAGCAAAGAGAAAATGACATGAAGATAAATGCTCAAATGAGCAAAGATAAAATGACATAAAGATAAATGCTCAAATGAGAAAAGATAAAATGACATAAAGATAAATTCTCAAATGTGCAGAGATGAAAATAGAATGAGATGTAAATGCTAAAGTATATGGTGCATAAAAGTAAAGGCATAAAAATAAAAAGCATAAAGTAAAAGCACAAAGTAAAAGCACAAAGTAAAAACATAAAATAAAGTCAATTGTTAATGAATTAGAAGTTAGAAGTTAGCTGAATGACCATCTTAAAACTTGCATTTGAAAACTAATTAGAAGATTGATAAAATTAAAGCTTCTCAACAACAAGTTTCATTTGCTTTTTGTCAAGTATATCATTCATTTCGAGGACTCAAGGCAAGCATATATATGATCAACGATGTTTAAATGATTCACTTAGACTAAAGTTCATGAAGTTCATTAGAGGATTGATAAGATCAAATCCTCCTAACAATGAACTTCAATGTTATTGGATCAAATGTTTCGAATTAAACACACTTGGGCTTGCAAACATGGGTTTGGGCCACAAATGATCATTTTTTGAATCAGGACAAATTTAGCGCTATGTTAAGCAATCGTAAGTGGACTTATGTAGAAGTCACACCTATTTTGAGGTCGGTCTATAGCAATTTATGTACCACATGTTAGAGAAATGATATATAGATCATTCTCCAACAATAAGTAGCACAAGTAAGAAAGGGATAATACGAAGAGAGAGGAGATGTATCAGATGAAATTAGGGTTTCAAATATCATCAACATCATTCATCCATTTTGGTGGATTTGGTTTTTCAACCTATCAACACCCAAGATTCAATGAGGTTGATGAACTTGTCCCAAAATAACACCCAAATCAGGACCAAATAAAAATAATAAAATAATACTTAATAAAACAATATTTAAAATGATTAATAAAAGGGAAATAATTGGTAAAATGTACAAAGTATATTAAAGCACCAAATAAAAATCCTAAAAAAATATTTAGAGGTCAAACATGAGTCAATAAGTGTTGACAAAAATTTTGAGAATTTTTAAAGTCAGAAACTATTTTTTAAATTTAAATAAATAAGCAAAATAAATCAAAATTTGTGAAAAATAGTAAAATAAGAAATAAAAATAAAATGAGGTCACTAATATTTGTCAAGAGGTCATTGTATCCTTCCATAATTTTTTTAGAATTTAAAAATCAAGAAAAATATTTTTAGAAAATTAAAACAAGTTAAATAAAGTGAAAAATAATAAAAAAATATCAAATCACAAAATAAAATTGTGAAAAAATAAAAATTATAAATATAAAAATTAAAACTATTTTTGTGAATTTTTTCAGAATTTTTGAAGTTGAAATGAATTTTTTATGAATTTTTTAAGTTTAAAACAAATAAAATATAAAATTAGAAAATAAAAATAAAACCAAAAAGATGTAGACCATTGGATCAATGTAAAAACGCGTTAGAAATCAAATCCAAGGGATTTTACGCGTTGCTCATGATATGGACGTTAGTGAATAAACCACCTGATTATTTATTTAAAACAAATTTTGAAAAAAATGCGTGGCGCGATATAATTGGCTTAAGGGAAGAAATGTCATTTTCTTCAACCTCCAACCATGCATAAATTACAAGTTCCACAAACTGTAAAATTAGAAGCTCGGACCGGTGCCATTCACTTTGTCACTTCAAGACAATTTCAATGGTACCCTCGTGAAAAATTTATATAAACTGTAGCTCAGTCGATTTGAAGAAA